TAGCCATTATTATCAACCAAGCATCATTCTAAATATATATTATTCCCTTTATGCTTTTAAGAACATTACTCCTTTAACTCTTTTTTTTAATCCTGAAAGGTATGCACCCATCCTTATCTTTATTTATTTTATGTTTGACAATTCTAACTTATGTTATTTAGTGATAATAAACTGTATTCATGAATGTGATAACTTTTCTTGGTCCTGTAACCCATCCAGTCAATCATTAAACCTGAGGGTGGTCTTAAGGATTTCTGGTACACCACTTAACCCATAATTAGATCTCTATCAGGCGAGGAAGCATATTTCTTTTCTTTCTAGAGTGTGGTAGGTGTTCTATAAATATTTAAATATTTGTTGACAAAGTAACTTGCTTCTCTAATTAGGGAGGGGACCCTACCCGGCAGGCTATTGAGCTATGGATCATCCTATGGCCGTGGCTTTTCTCCATCCTTTCACGCTATGCTCTGGATTCATTGCTTTTTTTTTTTTTCCACTCAAAAACTTAGAACTTTGCCACATACATCTTCCCTCTGTCCCACTTCTCAAGGTCTAGGATAAATGCAAGTGGTCTTTTATATAAAGTCTGTGACCTATAAATAATAGAATTTCTCCCTGAACCATGTGTCACAGAAGTATGTAAACAGGGACATCTGAGGGAGGAAGGAGAGGTCACTTCAGTCAAGATCATCACAAAAATATAAAAAGAAGATAGATTTTTTTTTTTTACTGGTTCTCAAAGATTATATTGAAATTAAATATTTTGAGGAGGTAGATAAAAGGGGCTGCCTGGCAAATGGAAAACTTAAAAATGATCATCAACTACTCCAGGACAATGATGCTTATAAGTTAAGAATGTTAGGAATTTATTTGGAGTGAAAACTCTATAGCATTGTTAGTAGTGACCAAAAAAAAAAAAAAAAAAAGCTGAGGTTAGGTTACGAATGGCCTTACACGAACTAAAAAATTGAATTCTATCCTTAAACCACAGATATTTATAAGTAGAAAACAAAAGGAGAAACTACTTTCAAAAGTTGTGAGCTAGATAGCCAGAAATGAGAACGAAACTACAGAAGGAGAAATTAGGGGGCTGTTGCAATAAGCGCTGGGGGGTGGGGAAACAGCAAAATCTGCTTTTTAGTCTTTCACTTAACACCAGTTTGCAACAGAACTACAAGTTCTTGAATTATCCAAAGCCGCAGCATGTTCGTTTTTTTTCAGAGCCTTGGAACTGGCTTCCTCGCCAAAGGAAGCATTTTGAGCCCATTATAAAACCGTGCTTCAGCTGGGAACCACAGAATTTCCCTGGCAATTTCCCAAGGTCATTAGAGGTAATAAGAGGGACTTAGGGGGAAAATATCAGCATGAAACTCTCAATCTGGATGTGCGACCAAATAAATGAGATTTCCTCTTCAACCTTACAATCAAATATGTTTCCCATAGTTGCGTTAGTAGCCTGCTTTTTACTGGGTCTAAATTTGCAAAGTAGACAGAGGCCAGCACTGACAGTTATTAGAAAAACTCAAGCCATAGAATCATTAGACTCAATATAATTCTATATTTTGGAGTCAGAATCCCTACATCCGATTCATAATGCAAAAACCCTGCATTATTTTCATTTTGTCTGCCCCTTTCTTGATCACCTCCACTTTTTTTTTTGTTTTGTTTTGTTTTTTAGTTCACTGCCTCTAAAACTGACCCCAATAATTATCAGGTCTTCTAATCCATGGGTCCTTCCAAACTCTTTCTATTCTTCCCCTTGGTACCGTCACTGTCCTTATTCTTTATTAATTGCTATAATCAATCCCTTCGTTTTCTTCTCCCTTTCTATGTCTTGGCAAAATGCAACTTGATTAAGTCCAAGTTTCCACCTCCCCCAGGACACAGCCCTCTCTTAGTTATTCTTGGTATCTTGTGCTTGTCTCTCTTCCTTTTCCAGTAGTGACGATGGGATGCTCAGGCTATATACACTCTGCTCTTTATCTACTTACACACTGCTGCTTAAGGTGATATCACCCCGTTTTGGGTTCATTATCATCTATATTCTGGTACATCCCTCCTTGGAGACCTCCTCCTGATTTGTGTATCCAGCAACCTATTTATTCAGCATCTCCACTTGGATATTGTCCTGGGTATTTATTTAATGGCTCTCAGTTTCAAATCTACTCTTTGCACAGTTGCTCAATGTTCCTGGTTCTGAGACTCTGAGCACTTTATTGCTCAGGCTCCCTGGTCAGCGACTTTCTCTGAGATTCTCTCAGATGAAGTATGAGGGAGTGAAACATGAGTCTAGAGATCCTTTGTTTGCCCTCTTTCCCAGGCTTTTGATTTATCCTTCATTATAAATATAGCAAGATAAACAGTGACCTGCATGCTGACTGTGTTTTCCTTGAGGGGTTGCTATTGTTTTTTAGCTTTTGTTCTTCAGGGCTCTCTCCCAGGAGACATAGTTTGGAGAGAACCTTCTTGTATTGTCTCACATATGAGCTTTTGGAGGATACCTTGTATCTAAAACCATAACACTAAGAAAACAGCAGCAGAAAGGGCTTCCTTCCCATTCCCCTCTTCCCTAATCCTCTTGTATCATTCCACAGTTGTAGCAACTGACCTAGAGTCTGCCTTCTTCCAGGACCCCCAGAACCCCTTTAACCTGTTCTTTTCTTTCTTCTTCTTCTTTTTTTAAATAGCGTTTACTCCCATTCAATATGCTATTTGACTTATTTATTATATTTGTTGTTTATGGTTTATTTGTTCCGACTCCAATATATACTATTTGAGGGTAGGATTCCTTGTTTATTTTATTTGCTGTTATATTCTAAGTAATAAAAAAAAAAAAGGTTCCTGAGCACAAAATGAACCCTCAATTGTCGGGGTTCTGACCAGTGGGAGAAACGGGGAAAGCACGCCCAGACCAGGACAAGCCAAGAAAGGCAAAAGTCAATTAACCACTAGCACCCAGGCCTCCCTCGCAGGAGGACAATCAGATGTGCCAGGAAGACCAGTCAAAGCAGGATTTCAGTACGCACAGACAATATACTGCACAGGAGCCAATCAGGATAAAGGTCAGAGGGGTGGAGCTAGTTCACATGTACACCCATCCCACGGTCTGTAAGGGAAGGCACAGCTGTCCACGAGGGCGGAAGAGTCCTGGACCTATCCTGGAGGGGGTCTGATTTTTCTGTCACCACCCACAGCACCGCCTCCTGGCTGATCGCCAGGTGCCATCCCAGCCACATGTGCGGCCCCAAGACCTGAAAGCAGGCAGCAAGTCATGCTCTACACTCAATAATATTTGTCAAATGAAAGACGGCATGGCCTGGCTGTTTAATTATTCAATTAGAGAAATTTATTTCATATCCCAAAGTTTTAATATCCTTGCAAAGATAAAAAATAACAATATTTCTTCATAGGATTATATGCAGATTAAATGTGTCAGTAAAAGTTACCCTGCCCAGAACATAGCAAGTCCTTGTCACACATTCATATTAGTTTTTTTGAGTGTGTACATATTGCCTCCAAGGAATAATAAAAATTGCATAATCTGATGCACAGTTCATGTCTTCTCAGACAAAATATAGCATCTAGTTAGGTAAATTGCTTAATCATAGACAGTCAGCATGGTTTATGCAGACCCTGCCCAACTCTGTTGCCTCCTGTTCCTTAAATTTGGCTCTTTCTTACTTAGGGAGACACACTGCTTCCCTTGGACTTCTGTTGAAAATTTACTACCAGAAATATTCAGGTTTTTCGTGATTAAAATTGAACTTTCGATTCACTTTACCTCCAGGAGAAATTGGTTTATAAATAAAGGCTCTATGCCAAGCACCAGATAAGAAGTTAATTAATTGAATGTTCAGTATGTACTATAGCCAGAAATTCAATGTTTTATAGGATTTTTTCTCTCTTTTTTTTTTCCAGACATTTTTCTCGAAACAGCCCAAGTTGGCTTCCTTTGTAAACTCATCCATCACTGAATATTCTAGGTTGACCTCAGAGATGCTCCTCGTCAGCAATGTTAGTCACTTGGTGGAAGGCAATATTGATGAATCAGAAATAAACCCAGTTTCCCCAAAGTCAGAGACAAATCACGAATGGTACAAAATAAGGAAATAAGTTGAGAATGGTGGTATATATGTGCAATTCCACCTACTTTGGAGGCTCAGGCAGAAGTTTGAGCCCAGAGTTTAAGATCAGCCTGGGCAACAGAGCAAGACCCTGTCTCAAAAAAGAAAAGAAAACTGAGGCTATCAAAGGTAAATTGATCAAGATGTTACCGAGCAGATCTGTGACGGCTCCAACTGGATACTTGTTTACCTGACCCCTGATTGACAACAACAGTCTGCTTCCTCACTTTATGGAAATATCACAGGCAATCCTTGAAAAATCAAAACCACGCATAGAGGGGAAAAGCTGCTTTATCTTCCTTTAACAAGTCTTCTTGCATCTTGCCTCTATTGTGTAAGGAGAAAGAATAGGCTTCGTCTTCCTCCTCCTTCTGCCTTAGATTTGTTCCTTTTTACATTTGTGAAATGCTGCATACAGAATTATAAATAATCCCCAAACAGACCACATGCTGACAAGCTCCTAGTGCTGTCAAATGAAGCTGGAGCATTATGCTTCAAAATTTCTTGGATCAGAACCCTGCCATTTACAATGGCGCTTTCAATCTGGGCTACTAAACGTTCCCGGGGGAAGAAAGTGGGGTGATGGGGTGATGCACTGTCCAAATGGAATTAACCAAAACTCAAGAGCCCTGTTCTTAGGCATTGATGCCTTTGCTAACCTGGATGCTTAGAAATCAGCCTCCAACTTTCAAGTATTTTTGAGTATGTCACTCCCCTGCCCATCAGGAACACAAAGATAATTTTCCAAGACATATCAACAGATGGAATTAAGCTAGAACTGTTCCCATCTGATGATAAATCTCTCCAAGTTCTTACTACGAAAAAGCATATCAAACCTATAAGTTCTCAATTATGTACCTGAGTTAAGTATTAAACTGTGTTTCATAACTTTCTTTTATTGAGTCCAACCATGCTATTCTTTCTTCTCCTGTAGGCCATGCCGTCTTTTACCTTCATGTCTACACATATGAGGCTCCTTCTATCAACAGCACTGACCCTCTTCATCTGTCCTTCTTCCTTCTTGCCTCTTAGTTAAGAACACCTCTCCCACATCCTTATCATTACTTCATTCTTGGAGACTTCTTTCCTTTTAGTTACTAAAACACAGAGAATAGATGATTGTGAACTATTTTCCACATGACTATGTTGAAAATACGTGAAGTTATTACTTACGAATCAATGCCATGTTAAAGCCAGAAGTGGTGGCATGCACCTGTAATCCCAGCACCTCAGGGGGCTGAGGCAAGAGGATCATAGTTTCAGATAATCCTGGGCAATTTAGTGAGAACTTGCCTCAAAATAAAATAAAAAGGCCTGGAGATGTAACAGTGCTTGCCTCCCATGTGCAAGGCCCTGGTTTTTTTTTTAAAAAAAAAAAAAAGCTTAAGAAAATAGAAATGCTAACTACCCTTATTTGATTATTGCACACTGTATATATGTATTAAATTATCACACTATAGCCCGTAAATATGTTTAGTTAAATTATAATAATAGGGCTGGGATTGTGGCTCAGCTGTAGAACACTCACCTAGCATGTGTGAGGCCCTGGGTTCGATTCTTAGCACCACATAAAATAAATAAATAAATAAAGTTATCGTGTCCAAATACAATTAAAAAGATAAATATTTCAAAAAATATAATAATAAAAAATTTTAAGAAGAGTACATTTTTCCCTTAGTTCAAATTCTAGGTCTTGCACATGATAGCTGTGGAACACGATGGGGAAATTACTGAGCTTCTCTCTGTTTCCTCATCCAGAAAATAGGAATAATAATAAAACCTCACAAGAACATCCTGAGAAATGTGAAGAATCAAGCAATGTGAAAACTTAGGGCTGTAGCTAGCCCATAGCAAGTACTCAAACAGTATTAACCTTGTTATTATTACTGCCATAAAAGCCCTTGGATTTTTATGTCAGTTACACTTGAATAAAATCTAATTTGAATACTTAGCTGCTATGCAATCCTGATCAAGTTAGCTAAGCCTCCTCATGTGTAAAATGAGCATCATCATCATCATCATCACTTATCTATATTATAAGAAGTAAATGAGTTAGCAGCATGCCTAGAACATAATGCATACCCTATACTTATTAATGTTTCTTATTCTTGAGTCTCACCTGTGATGGTATATTTTGAATTAACATTTGTTCCTTTTGATGGACTACATTATGGTAATGGAATACCTGTATACAATGAGTAATAATCAAATCAAGGTAATAAGTATTTTCATGTCTCTCAACATTGATCGCTTTTCAACTTTAATTCTGTTTTGGATATTTATTATTTTTTACCACCTTTTAAAATTGGTGCATTATAATTATACATATGACATATCTGTACGTAGACATAACATGGTTTGGTCAATTTCACTGTCCTGTACCTTCCCTTTCCTTCTATTGCTTTCCTTGTTCCCTTTCTCTACTCTACTGATCTGCCTTATTTTTTCATGAGCTCTGCCACCCTCCAGACTTTTCCCCACCTTTTTACCCTCCAACTTCTACATATGAGAGAATACATGACTCTTGACTTTCTGAGTCTGGATACTTTGCTAAACATAACTCTCACAAGTGCCACCCATTTTTTTCCAAAAATGACATAATTTGGTTCTTTACGTCTGAACAAACATTAATCCTTTTGATGTGCTAGGAATTTCATACACTGCTTTTCTAGTTATTTTAAAGCACATATTGAAACACAGATTGTCACAGCCAACAGTTACCTTACTATGCTAAAGAAGGACCAGAAGTGGTCCTGCACTCTGGTGATCTTTATTGAACTTCTCTCTTCCCACTTATCTTTCCTTCCCCAGTCTCTAGTAACCACTGCTCCATTCTGTTCTGCTCCAGATTGACATAGCTCAGAAATGACTAAGGACATATGATATTTGTTGGACTGTTTGGCTTATATGGCTAAACATAATGACCTCTAGTCCCATCCATGACAGCATTTCATTCTTTTTATGGCCGAATAACATTCCATTTTTTTTTTGTGTGTGTGTGTGTGTATTACATTTTCTTCACCCATTCATCCATTCATGGATTGATTCCATATTTTTGCTATTGTGAAAAGAGTTGCAATAAACATGGGGGTGCAAGTATCTTTTGGTATAATAATTGAATTTCCTTTGCGTATATTCCCAGCAGTGGGATTACAAATCATATGGTAATCCTATTTTCAGTATTTTTTGGAGTCTTCATATCATTGTCTATAATGGCTGTACTAATTTACATTCCATCAAAAGTGTATGAATTTCCCTTTCTTTGCATACTCACAAGCATTTTTTAAATTATTATTTTTTGTCTTTTTGATGATAGCCATTCTAACAGGGGTGAGATGGTATCACATTGTAGTTTTGTTTAGCATTTCCCTGATGATTAGTGAGACTAAGCATTTTTTCATATACTAGTTGATTATTTTTATGTCCTTTTTTGAGAAATGTCCATTTAATCCTTCAGCCTATTTTCTAATTGGATGATTTCGTGTGTGTGTGTGTGTATGTTCAACTTTTTGAGTTCTTTATACATTCTGGATTGCAATCCTTTACTATTGGAATGCTTTGTAAATATTTACTCCCATCCTGTAGGTTGTCTTTTAATTCTGTTCTGTTTGTGTTTGTTTTGCAGAGGCTTTTTAGTTTGATACAATCTCATTTGTCTATATTTACTTTAGTTGTCTGTACTTTTGGAGTCCTATCTAAAAAGAATCTTCAATGACTTCAATGCCAATGACTTGAAGTGTTTCCCATGTTTCCTTGTGGTAAGTTCATAGTTCAGTTTAAAATTTTAGGTCTTTGATCCATTTCAAAATGATTTTTGTGTATGATGAGAGGAAGGAAGCTACTTTGATTCATTTGTGTGTGTGTATGTATATATACACACACACAAATGAATTTTCAATTTTGCCAGAACCATTTATTGAAGAGACTGTCTTTTCTCCATGGTATGTTCTTGGTGCGTTTGTGAGAAATTGGTTGACTGTATGAATGTGGTTTAGTTTCTGGGTTCTCTGTTCTCTTTAATTGGTCTGTCTGTTTTAGATGTTTTGGTTAGTGTACCTTTGCAATATATTTTGAAGTCAGGTATTGGGATACCTTCTGCATTACTGTTTTATTCAGGATTGCTTTGCTTTTCTGGTCTTTTGTGTTTGTAGATGGATGTTTAGGATCTCCATTTTTAATATGAAAGTCATTGGTATTTTGATGGGAATTGTATTAAATCTATGGTTTGCTTGGGTTATTAGCTCATATTAACAATTCTGATCCATGAACACAGGTTATCTTTCTTTTTTTCCTGCTTGTATATCCTCTATAATTTATTTAATTAGTACTTTATGACTTTTATTGGAGGGAGCTTTTATTCCTTGGTTAAATTTTTTCCTAAATTCATTTTTTTTGTAGATTTTGTGAATGTTGCATCTTTATTTTTCATTATTTCACTATCAGTGTATAAAAAATACTACTTTTCATGTTTATTTTACATTCTGAAATTTTACTGAATTTGTTTATCAATTCTAACAGCTTCATGATGGAGTATTTAGGTTTTGCTATATATAAAATTATGTTATTTGTAAACATGGACAATTCAAGTTCTTCCTTTATGACTTGGATTCTTTTTCTTTCTTTCTCATGCCTAATTATTCATGTTAAAATTTTCAATACTAGATTAAATAATATTGACGAAACTAGGCATCCTTGTTTTGTTTTAATTCTGAAAGGAAGTGATTTCAGCTTTTCCCACATTCAATACAATAGTGCTTTGGGGTTTTTCATACATAACCTTTAGAATTTTGAGGTATGGTCATTTGTACCTAGTTTATTGAGAAGTTTTTATCATGTTGGGATATTGAACATTTCTGAATAACTTTTCTGCATCCACTGAAATGACCCTGTGGTTTGCATCCTGACTTCTGTTGATGTGTCGCAACATACTGATTTGCATATATTGAGCCATTTTTGATCCCTGGGATGAACCCCTCCCTGATCATGGTATATGATCTTTTTGATATATTATTTTTTTATTGACTTGTTTTTTTTAATTAGTTCATTTCAGTTATACACAATGCTAGTGTTCACTTTGACATAATTATACAAGCATGGAATATAATTTGTTCCAATTCACTCCCCAGTACTTTGCCTTTCCCTTCCCTCCTCCTCCTTCTCCCTATTGATATATTGTTAAATTCAGAAAAAGTATTAACCTAGATCTCTGTTCACCAGGGATATGGACTTACAGTTTTCTTTGTTTTTTTGGTTATATTTTTGTCTGATTTTAGCATTGGAGTAATGCTGGCCCCAGAATGAGTTTGTTCCATTTCAAATTTTAGACTAGTGTAAGAAAAAATGGAATTAGTTCTCTGAATGTTTATAAAATTGAGCAGTAAAGCTATCAGGTCTTGGATGTTTTTTAGATGGGATATTTTTAAATTATTATTTTAATCTCATTCCTCATTATTTGTCTTTAGATTTTCTTTCTTCTTGATTCAATTTGTGTGTGTTCAAGAACCCCACAGGCCTGGGGTTGTAGCTCAGGGGTAGATCACTTGTCTCACATGAATGAGGTCCTAATCCTCAGCACTACATAAAAATAAATTTTAAAAAAAGGTATTTAAAAAAATAAATCCATGTCTATAAAGTTTTATAATCCTCAGTGTACAGTTCTTCATAGTGGTTTTATATCATTTATTATTTCTGTGATATTGACTATACTGTCTCCTTTTTCACCTCTAAAGTATGGCCTCTTCTCTTGTTTCTAAAGTTTAGTCAAGCTAACATTTTGTCAATTTCGTTTAGCTTTTCAAAAAACCAACTATTTGACTCATTGATTTTTTTTTTAGCTTTAGTTTAATTAATTTATGTTCTTGACTTTATTCTTTCTACTAATTTGGAGTTTGGCTTGTTCTTTGATTTTCTAAATCCTTGAGGTGCATTGTTATTTATTTGAGATACATCTATTTTTTGAGGTATGAATTCATTTCTATAAATGTCCCTCTCAATACTGTTTCAGCATGTTTATATGTTTCTAGAATTTTTTGTTTCCTTATTAATTTCTTTACCTATTGGTCATTTATGTACATACCATTCAATTTCCATGTTTTGA